CTGAGTCCAGCTGCTGGTCGGAGCTCAGATCTATGACTGTAGGTTGTTTGGTTTATAATTCAGACAGTATTAGTGCRGTGGATGTGTTGTCACGATGTTACACTCTCCCTCAGCTCTGTGAGTGAAAACCTGTCAGTGTGAAACTCTGCAGCTTGTCTCAGCTCCGCTGCCAAGCCTGAGTTTCTGTAACGACAAAAAGGTCGACGTCACTGGAAGAGTCACTCGTCTTTGTTTCCTTCTTCAGGTTATGTCATCCCTCAGGCTTCCTGGAGCCCCAGCTGTGAAAGAGAAGGGCTGATCCCCGTCCTCCCAAACCTGAGCCCACCTGAACGCATCACATCACCGGGCCCTGCAGGGTCCGGACCCCTGCTCGCTGGGACTCATGGCTGCAGGGGGTCACGTCCCTGAGGCCGACGTGTTCATCAACCTGCAACAGGTAAATGAATGAAGCCTCCACGCTATGAGCTGAGACGTCTCAGCGTGTGGGGAATGATAAAGTCCTGCAGGCTAGCTGTTCTCAAAATGAGTCAGATCAGCTTCTGTTCCCGGGGAGAAACGGCTCTGCTGACTCAGCAGGTTTGGTCATTACGCACAGCGGGGAGCGTGTCATCTGCAGCACACGTGACGTGTCGTGGCTCCGATCTGAAGGAAATAACCGGCTGTGTGCTCAGAGATGAGCAGACCCACGTTCACCGTGAGAAAAACCCAACGAGCTAATCCAGGGTGGGCAGTCCTGGTCCTGGAGGGCCGCAGCCCTACATGTTTTACATGTTTCCTGCTCCAACACACCTGATTCAGTCACTGAACTACCTCTTCATGTTCTGCAGTATGGAGGACCGACACTGACATAATTAGAAATAAACACAGAAATAGAGAAACAAGTGAAACATGCAGGACTGCAGCCCTCCAGGACTGATATGCCATGCTGCTGTTGTAAACATACGCATAAAAAAACACAAACACAATCAAGTAATCTGACATTAATGAGGCCATAGATTAGGAAGGAGGCGGGACTATGACATCATCGTTTGTCAAGGCTGTCTGTAAGAACAGACTCTTCCTTTTCTGTTTCTTTGGTGTTTTGACCTTGTGTGTCGGCAGGTATAGATCATTAAACACATCCTGTCCCCTCGTCCCTCTGGTAATTAGGAAGTAATGGAGCTCTGAGAAATCTGAGACCCCCGAGCTGCAGCCCGAGTGCTCACCTCACCAGCAGAGATCTGATGGAGGAGGGGCAACTCGTCCCATCAGGGGGGTCCAAACGACGAGGCAGGACTCTCTCCCCTCAACCCTCTCTGTCTCTTGGGGGCCGTCCGGTGCATTATATCTGTTCTGCTGCACTTTGCTGTATTGATTATCTGTCCTCACTGCCTGTGCAGACAGGATGAGCTCCTACCTGCTGCAATCCTACGGCTTTCTGCCAGCATCCCAAACTGAAACTGTGCCCCCTCCCACGTTTCTACAGAAGAAACTATACTTCTCAGGAGTTTATGTAGAATYTGTTTTGTGGTTCATAAAATGTTTAGCCTTTTTGTGATCATTTTCACCCTCAAAACCTCCATTGYTTTGAATAAGTGTCCCTCTTGCAGCTCAATTTGAGTAGTCCTACAGATCTACAACATTCAAGATGAAGGTTGAACTGAGTTGTTTCTGCTAAAAGAAGCAGAACACTAGCTAAATGCTAAAAGGAGCAAAATGCAAGCTAAAAGCTGCAAGAAGCAAAATACTAACAAAAGTTAAACGCAGAAAAATGCTTTCCAAAAATAAAGAAATGCTAGCAAGAATTTAAAAAGCAAAATACTAGCTAAGAGCAAAAAAATAGCAAAAGACTAACTAGGAGCTAGAAGTAACTAGCTAAAAGTAGGAAAACACAAGCTAAAAGCTAAATATAATCTAATAGTCAGTTAGAGCAGAATTCAAGTAAAACAAACTGAAGTGAGCTTTTTTATTTTTAAGGTGAATTTTTCGTTACAGCAAATAAAGTAATATTTTGAAAAGTTACAAAAATGTCATAGCTGGGATGTCTGGAATGAGCTGAACTTCAAGGACAGAAACGGCTTGAAAGAAAACAAAGAGAAACAGAATGACTGTAATGCAAACATTGATAAGTTTTGAAAGAAAAGAATAAAGAGAGGATCACTGTAATGTGAACAATGTTTTAAAGAAAAGAATAAAGGGAAACAGGATCACTGTAATATGAACAATAAGTTTTGGAAGAAAAGAATAAAGGGAAACAGGATCACTGTATTGTGAACAATAAGGTTCGAAATAAAATAATATAGGGAAACAGGATCACTGTAATGTGAAGAATATGTTTTTGAAAGAAAAGAATAAAGGGAAACAGGATCGCTTTAATGTAAACATTGATAAGGTTTGAAAGAAAAGAATAAAGAGAAAAAGGATCACTGTAATGTGAACAATAAGGCTTAAAAGAAAAGAATAAAGGGAAATAGGATCACTGTAATATGAACAATAATAAGTTTGAAAGAAAAGAATAAAGGGAAATAGGATCACTGTAATATGAACAATAATGTTTGAAAGAAACGAATGAAGGAAACAGGATCAATGTAATATGAACAATAATAAGTCTTGAAATAAAAGAATAAAGAGAAACAGGATCACTGTAATATGCATATGTTTTTAAAGAAAAGAATAAAGGGAAACTGGATCACTGTAATATGAACAATAATAAGTTTTGAAAGATAAAAATAAAGGGAAACAGGATCACTTTAATGTAAACAATAAGGTTTGAAAGAAAAGAATAAAGAGAAACAGGATCACTGTACTATGAATAATATGTTTTGAAAGAAAATAATAAAGGGAAACAGGATCTCTGTAGTGTGACCAATAAGTTTTGAAGTAAAAGAATAAAGAGAAACAGGATCACTGTAATGTGAACAATAATAAGGCTTAAAAGAAAATAATAAAGGGAAACAGGATCACTGTAATATGAACAATAATGTTTGAAAGAAAAGAATAAAGGGAAACAGGATCACTTTAATATGAACAATAAGTTTTGAAAGAAAATTAATGGAAACAGGATCACCGTAACATGAACAATAATAAGTTTGAAAGAAAAGAATAAAAGGAAATAGGATCACTGTAATATGAACAATAATAAGACTTGAAAGAAATGAATGAAGGGAAACAGGATCAGTGTAAAGTGAACAATAAGTTTAGAAATAAAAGAATAAAGAGAAACAGGGTCACTGTAAAATGAACAATAAGTTTTGAAAGATAAAAATAAAGGTAAACAGTATCACTTTAATGTAAACAATAACACGGTTTGAAAGTAAAGAATAAAGAGAAACAGGATCATTGTAATATGAATAATTTGTTTTGAAAGAAAATAATAAAGGGAAACAGGATCTCTGTAGTGTGAACAATAAGTATGAAGTAAAAGAATAAAGAGAAACAGGATCACTGTAATATGAACAGTAATAAGTTTTGAAAGAAAATAATAAAGGGAAACAGGATCACTGTAATATGAACAGTAATAAGTTTTGAAAGAAAAGAATAAAGGGAAACAGGATCACTGTAATATGAACAGTAATAAGTTTTGAAGTAAAAGAATAAAGGGAAACAGGATCACTGTCACGTAAACAATAATCATTTCGTTGAAGACGTCCATGCAGGGACTTTCTTTACAGGATCAGGAGGTAATAAATGTTCTGATGGTTTTATTGTGATCCTCTGAAGGTGAAGGTGGAGGAGGAAGACGAGGATGCGTCTGCGGAGGAACAGGAGGAAGAGAAGGAGGAAGACAACTGGGAGAAAGCTCTGTCTGTAGAGCGTTTCAGAGACATCATCGGTGATTCTGGTTCCACCAACGGGGACAGGCCGGGCCGCCACTACACAGAGAAAGACTTTGAGTGTAAGAGCATGCTCCAGATTCTGTGTGAACCTGTTGTTCACATTCATCAGATCCTTTCGGTTCTGTTTCTGTAACAGTTCACAGACACACGTTTCACCACACGCACCACCCGCTGTCCACCCACCTGCCCGTCTCCCAGCGCCTACGCAAGAGAGCGCACAGCGCCGACAGGCGGCACAAAAAGAAGCGGAAGAAAAAAAAGACCTCGCTGCCCCCCTCCGACGTCACGCCCACCATACACGAGGTAGACGAGGAAGAGGCGGAGTCTGAGGCGGCGACGGCCACGCCCACAGAGCTGCCCCACACTCAGCCGCAGGTAAAATGATGCAGGAGGAAGTGCAGGTAGATCTGGCCTCTTCCTCTCCTTTCACTGATCTTCCTCTTCCTCTCAGTTTAGCTCTGGGAGCCAAGGAGGCTTGGAGGAACTCGCTTCAGTCACGACCATCCGCGTGGAAAACGAAGAACATCCGCTGGCCTCGAAAGCATCACTCACACTGATAGGAAAGACAGCTCATAACGGGAGACTTCCCATTCCTGGTCCTGGTCCTGGTCCTGGTCCTGGTTCAGGTCCTGGGCTGAAGGAGGATGAAGGAGAAGCAGCGAGCATCAGGTTGCCTAAACTGAAATAAGCCCACCGCCTTCAAAAACTCAAATTCTTACAGGCTGCCGTTTATAAAGTTATACAATCAAAAATTATCACCAATATTTTTGTTTTATTTAACCTTTTATAAGAAAAAAAGAATAAATTTATTTTTCTAAGTCAGTTTTTCACCATATGATTCATACATTTATAAATGTCATAGTTTATAAACTAAATATTTAACTT